AGTTAAAATTAGAGTTGTTCAAGATATTTCTCATAGTAAAAGGTCTCACTATCATGCTGACTTTACCTTTTAAAAATGATATTTTTATAATATTTTCATGTTTTCCTCTAACAGAGCTTTGTGTTTATATAAATAACTCAGAAATAGGAAATCAATGTGCTTGAATAAATGATATAAATGTACTGAATAAATTATAGCTCAATAAACATAATATGGCATTATGATGCATATCAAATATACTAGAAGGTAAAATCAACTTTGACATTAGAATATTATAAACCAACTTTATAACTACAGACTAAATCTGTATTTCCAGTTTCTTTAACATAATTAATAGAATTCTCAGAAAAAGAATATCTAGTATTTCTAGTATTTAAAAACTTACTTGATTTTAGCAATGCAGCAAGTGTGTCTAAAGCAACCCTGTCAACACAACAAGAAAACACAAACAACAACAAAACTAGTAAAATTAATCTACAATAGTAAATTCACACAATCTTTTCAGATAATTATTCTATTATCTATTCCCAAATTTGCTTTTTTTATATTTAATTACATATGATGTTTCTCTGTATGCATCTCTCCCTTCAGCTTAAAATTGAATAAGAAGATTGAAATATCAACAGATAAGCACAAAAAAACAAAATTTTTTAAGAAAGAAAAAGAAGAAAATTAACAATGTCTAAGTCTTTTTGTCAGAAGTTAGATGAATGAAATCAATTATCATAGCTGTATCTGACCCTGAGAGACTTAACAAAGGATCATACTAAGAATCATAGGCCCTGACTTGCAAAAGAATTAAAAACAAGTTTTAACACAAAATTAAGTTCACCTAATTACAAAATTTTACAGATATTGTAACTTTCTGACTTTAAAGTATTCCAGTTCTATCAAGCTACAGTCCTCCTATTTATGGTCATAACAAATGTAAAATATTTTGGAAATTGGAAGTTTGGGAAGAAGTATAAGCCCTTAACATTTTTCGGCCATGAGAAAAGTGGCTGAATTCACCAAAAGTGAATTCACCAAAGTGAATAATTAGCCTAACTACTAATAATATCCAAAAACTCTTACTGCCCCTTAGAGGACAAAGAAATAGTATTAGAAATGGAAAGTACTTATATTTTCTTTGAACATAAATTCTCAGTCACACGCAGTGAAATCAACTGCCATTAATCAGCTATACGAATACATATAATATCACTGTGGAAAATCTGTAATTCAAATAGTTTCTTTAAAAAATTAGTTACTGAAGAAATGGCTCTTAACTTCAATAACTTTAAAAATGTAAGGCACATACTATGGTACCTCTTAGTAAAAGGTCAACAATTACAATTAATTTGCATTAAAACGATATATGTTGTCAATCATTTCACTCACCATTAAGCATTTGTTGAATGCCTACTAGATACCCACAGTAGCAAGTTATTCATGAGTATAAAATTAGAAAACAAACTTATCTCTTCCACAGATAATTTTACAATCTACATTATTTAGTAAAAGTATACACCTATGAAAAAACTAATCAAGAAATTAAAAA